AGCTCCAACGGAATCGCATATTTTCTTTAGGTATATTCGAACAGCGGTGGGATGGTCCCACAAGGAAGAAGTGGGCGAGGTGGCGGGTAGAACGAGAGAATAATATCTCGGGAACTCGGGGACTTCCATCAGCGACACTTGTCAGCTCCTTCGACAATCGGGACAATTCATTCATCGCCGCGTCTTCTGAAGTCCGACGAGCGGGGGGGGGGGCTCGGGGAACGTTCGCGATGTATCCACAGCAATGCCCCATAGATAGTGGACAACTGCGGGCGATGGCAAGCCATGGCGTTGATTCAACGCGTGGATTCGGTTTTCGATCACTGGATCATATAATTCTCGGGAATGTTCAATTAGAGGGAACTGCGGCGGACGAGCAAATCATGTCTGACCGGAGATAAAGTGTGTCTCTCGGAACAGACGAATCGCTCGGGAATGAGTTGATTTTTATTCCAAGCCCATTCAATGAACGCCCACTCCAAATGGAAAACGAACAGCGGGCGATCGTTTCCCCGTGGCTGCCGACGCAGTACCTCGTCCCTCCGGGCAGCTGCGCGAGCTCCATTACCTCGTACTTATCCCGGGAGAACTTAAAGAGCGGAACAAAAAACAGAAAATTGAGAAAATCTCTGCGAGAGTCGACGAGAGCCGGGATGCCCCTAGGATTCGCTCGTTCCGATGATAAATGCTAACTCTAAACGTACTCGAGATCCACGAAATTCATCGGGAAGCCCCCGCCCCGCTATCCGTTCGGGATTTGCCGGAAAAGTAGCGGGAATTCATCCGGGTGATCCATAGGGGACCGAGGTCGGATGAGAGAGGAATAAATATATTTTATTTATAGTCCGGAATGTCTCAGTGCCGGCAGGGAGGACTCCGTCTAAGCTCAGACGTCCCGTCCGACGAGCTCGTGATCTACTGAGATCTCGACGCGAGACCTGGCCGGAGGACGGGGAGGACACGCATCGCTTGAGGAGCGATACAGGGACTGTTCTTGTGGGATATCAAGCTGGCTCGGAAAAAAGGCAAGCTTAAAGACACAAAACAAGCGCGCGGGGAGTTTCCTGGAATCTTCGGAAAGGAAAGACGCCGCAGCTCGTTTATCTCAATTTGCGAACATTTAGAACTGATTTGCTGGCGGGTCGACCCCTCTTCGGTTTCTCCTCGTGGTGGTCGTCGACTCATTCCCTCTTCTACTACCTCCCGCTCCGTCTTATTTGGGTTCCTCGCTCACTAGGTCACAACGACGCGACGTTCGGATCTGAGAGCGCCTCTTTAGTCGGATTCCCGTACCGCACTACGTCCCTTTTCACTCTTCGGGTCGAGCGATTCCTGAACCCTCCAATAAAATGAGCGCATCAGTCACAATAAAATCCCGACCTTCACGTCGTTACTGTTTTCTTCACCCAGCTTCCCTGTGAGATCAAACCCACGCTTCCGGAAATGGGAGCATTGTCTCGTTCCATTTCCATGTTTTCCCTCCGTCTCTGGATCTCCATTTCATTCTGAGGAGTGAGAACGCACTCGCTGTTTTCAAGGAAAAGACAGGCAGAGTAGACGGAATCTAAATGGAAGCTTGGAAGCTTCTGAATCTGATGGTCTTCGAATGTCACGCAGAGGATAATTATCGGGAATTCAATGTTGAACCAAAGCTCAATGCTGCGCCCTAAGCGGAGGACACGAGGCACGACGGCCTATCGCCTTTCGAATCCGAGATGTCTCGTGACAATTTTCCGTGTCCCTCAAGAGAGATAGCGAGAGCTCAAACAGCTTCGCGTGAGTTTGAGTGCTTAAGGCGGAAATCGTCAGCTCAAGGGTAGTAGCTCCATCGTGGATCCGTCTAACTTTGTCGTGTCGAGCCTTGGCCGCCGCTGTGAGCCATCAAGCCCTCAATTCGAGCAGAGGAGGACGGAAACATCGCATAGAACAAAAATCTCCCTGAGTTTCCTAAATGGAGCGAGGAACGATATTCGGGGGCACAATGATTTTTTTCCGGCTCGAGCTATCTTTAGACTCGTCTCTGTGTCGAGATCTTTCATTTATGCAATAAGGATATTCCTCGAGCCGCGCTCTGTGTCAACCGCGATTCTCCATTCAATTGCTGCTGGTGACCAGCGAATAGCCGCTTTGTCCCTGAGGAAACAGAAAGTTTCGACGTCGAGCGGAGTCCTGAGATCAGCTGCCCAGCTCCGGGGCGCTTGCGCTGAGTCTTTTGGAGGGACAGGGGGCGAATTCGACGAAATTTGTCCGAAGAGTCGGCAATCACAAAAGTATGGAAGCACTCTGTCATCCTTGAGAGGAAAGTTGAAGAGGTTCACGCTTCGTAGAGAACAGTCACTCAGCCTACAAGGGAAGACTCTCAAGTAACTCTCTCTCCCATCCGAATCCCTCCCCGAAAATGGTCTGTTGATATCCGAACGAGCATCTCCCTGGGAGGTAGAAGGTAAACCAAACCCACCCAGATAAATCGTTGGGCAAGGTCACGATATTCAGGACAGTCCCATATTTTCGACGCCTTATCTGAAGCCCCCCAGGAGCATGCTCTCCCCCGATCGAAAATTCTCAATATCGACTCGCTTTCAGCAACTCCGGATCCGCATCTAGTCGGATATTCACCCTCAGCTGATCCAAATCCTTGGATTGTGCCAATGCTCCCTCGAGTGGGTCGGTGACGCACATTACTGTGATACGGCTTCGATTGAGCTCATTTGGTGAAAAAAAACTCCCGGCAAACAAAATACACCTGCCCCGAATAGTCTGCCTGCCTGAAGCCTCTCCGTCGAAGGCCCGGCGGAAGTCGTTTTACCGGCCAACGGCCAATCGCTCCGGTCGCACAAACCAAAGATGTCCGCGACGATATACGATGGAATGGTCTTGAGAGAACATGTCGACTGTCACTTGCACGATCATTACGAATGATTGCTGCCTCTTCCTCCTCCGGTTCGAGTACTTTTAGTCTTGCGGTCTTTCTTGAATCTCGGATTCGGTGCGCACCGCGCTCCTCACGTCAAATGACGAGGAGGTGCTCCCTGTTAATTTCAAGATATTCCTCCCGATTCCCGATCTCCCTAGATATGCGGATGATGCCGTACAAGAAGTATTGGAAGTCGGCCGCAGTGAGTTGGCTCCTTCTACTGCAAGTAAGTGCCGATGCCTTTGTTTGCGTATCAGCTGTTTCTATTCGGCAAATATATCTTTTTGTGGTTCTTTTCACAGACTCGCTCGGCCCCGCACAGAATTGAATTTAGCCTCTTTGTCAATGATGCGTTCCGTTCGATGTGGCAACAAAAGGTTTGGCAATTGTTTCTGTGCGCCGATTGTGAGGCTTCGTTCTCTCGGCTCTGCGTGGTAAGTGTTGCAGAAAAGAAAACCAGGTGGGAGGGACGAAGTATCACATTCTATCGTCCATTCCGTTCTCGTCGGATGAGTGTTCCGAGCAGATGGATCTCCATTTAGACTATTGCTTCATCTAAAAAAAAGAGTTTCCTCGACTATCGTGCCTGTGCCACAAGCGATTCCGACGTCGGTCTCGGCCGCTGGCGTCCGCCCAGGTATTCCCGAGAAGTCGGTTCCGCTAAGTTTGTCCACATATTCTGCTTTTGAAGGGAAATCCCTGGATATCGTGTGATGTTGCCATGACAGATACCCTCTTATGCAAGGAGATTCATCTCGGGCGTGAACACTGCCTCGACTCTCTCAGGAAAAGTCGAGAAAGTTATTCGAGCAGACTTCAGAAGTTCCCAGAGCGGGTGAATCCCGGAGATGGAGGGATATTCTCTCTCACAGAGATGTCTCAAACATCAGAGCGACGATGATACGTCATCATGACGTCAATAAAAATACTCGATATTGGTTCACACGTTCTCTCGGACGAGCCGGATAGTCTGAATGAGGGATGCATTAGAATGAGAGAATATATGGCGGAAGGAAGTTCCGTATACGCTTCAGGTCGCATCGACACCATGCCGGCGACTCCGTTAAGGAAAATCACGGTATCCCGTCGGCTCTCCAATGGGAAGGTCTCTCATGTCGGAGATGAGGACCCAAGACCAAGGGGACGTCCTCGGAGCTCTACGATCAACCTCCATCCCACGGACACTTTGAGGAGGAAAGTCAAAGAATCGGTCGCGATCGTTCGCCTGAATACGAGACTTTCTGCTTTTTCCGTGACAGCGACGTCAGAGACCGGCATTGCGCAGTGATTGAAATCTCTTGCGGAAAGCCCAGCGCGGTCTCACGCAACTCGAGCTGCATGGAAGCTACGCTTGGATCCCTAGACAATTCAGGTGGCAGGTCTAAAATTACTTGTCTCACTGCAGACGCCGCTTGGAAATTCGAGCTCGACAGCTCCGTTTGCGCTCAGCGCACCACTTCGCTACTCAATTCAGGTTCCCCTGCGGGATCGTCCGATCTCTGCCGTAGAGTAAATAAATCTCGACCGGGTAAAAAATATGTCAGCTCTTCACCGCAGCGCTTCAGTTCCATGGAACGAACCGCATCCCAAGCTTTTCCTTCCCACACAGCCAAGCCTTCAGGTTGTTCCCTGATAATCTGCATCTTGCTTACCGCTGTGAGTTCCTTAACAGCAGTACGCGAAATTACAGAAGAAAAAACATGGTGCATCGGACGAGGGAGCAATGTCATTCCGGTGGGGACGAGGGTAACGACGAAGACGCAACCGAAAATGGCTCGAACAAACGTTTAACGGATTCTGGGAGGCCTTGGATACGAACTCGAATCCCGCGGGACACATCGAGATAAGAACAGTAGCAGCTCCGGCTGTCGGTGGCGTGCCGTTGTGCGTCGAGTTCGGGAGGGAACAAGCCGGCGAGTTCGTGGCGCGCGGCAAGGGCGAACGACAAGGAGCAGGCACACCAGCCGGCCTCCCAGTTGTTGAGGCCGAACCGGGATCATCGTCACCGAGTCGGCCCCGACTTTTTCCCTCGCAACTACTATTTGCACGCTCACTCTACAGACACAGTGAGATCCCGTCTCAGGGGATGCGCGAGCATAGGACAGCGGCAACGCTGGAAGTAAAGGACGCCGCTCCGGCCGTCGACTCTTATTCCGTCTTTCCATTCCGTTATGTTCTTTTTTCCCCGATGTTTTTATCTGCCGATCGCCACGTGTTCATTGCCACGCAAATAATGGTCATGCATCCATTTGGATGACGTCGCTTGTCGTCGATTCCCTCGGGAAGGGAGGGACAGCGTTCCCAACAGCTGTCTTCTCCCCGGCTCAGACGGAGAGACGGCGCGTCCGTCGCCGACACGCCATAGACGGAAATTGTCGCCGCTCCGACAAGTCACGGAAGAATCCGAGATTTTTTTCCGGCACCCGCTCCGAACTGTATCAGTCGCTTATCGGAAGGCTGCGAGTGGGTCAGAGGAAATGCTCATAATCCCCTGACGAGCCCGCCTTCGATGTGACATCTTTCTCCGTCGGCGTGATAGCATCCCCGAGGAACAGATATCGGTGAAAAATAGCCAAAGTTGCTCTTTACTCGGGAAAACGTATTCATCTCGGGGAACGTCAACGCTGGCAAGCGAGCCGCAGGCATCGAAGACTCGAGGCATCAGAGGACTATGCGGGAATATTGGACACTCTTCCCACCGACAAGCTCAACCTTTGTGGTTCACAGTCGCCTACCAGCGGAGCATAGGCGATGCGTCGGACCTCGATATATTCATACGTAGAATCGGGGACGTCAATCACCGCTCGCGCGCAACATGAGCGCGTCCGATACGTTCTCCGGTCCGGAATTAGGCGGCTACCCCGTTAAATTGGCGGACGTCTATTTCATTGAAAAACGCAATCGGAGTCATATACGGTAACACGATCCGGCGGAGGGAGAATTCCGCGACTCCATGACATGAAACGTGATGATTATCGACCGGGTAACAATCGCACAGCTCTCCCATTAGGTTAATTGACTGACCTTCTCGAGCTGAAGGCGGACTTGTTCATGTCTGGTCTCGTATTTTGTTCGTGCTTCCAGCTGTTTTCGTTGCCTCATCGCCATATACCTGGAACAAAAAACTCGGTCATCGCAAGCCCAGGATTCTACGGGTACCGCGTTTAGCGCCTACGAAGTTAGTCGTGCGATTAGCTTCTCATTGGTGTAGTGAGGCGATTCTATCGTGAGATCGTGAACTGCGACCTTCACTATCGGATGCGTCTCGGTCCCGCCCGCATTCTTGTATCGCTGCCAATAGAGAGAGAATTGAACGCGGAGCGGGGATCAAGATGCTCCTGTCGAGCTCCCAGTGGCAGCTCCCACTAGCTTTATTCTTCGGCGGAGTTTTTTTTCCGCCAGAACTAAGCCTTGAGATAGGATCCGTGTATCGGGCTATCCTCCTACACAGAATCTAGTCGAGGCAGCTCTTATTGAACGACGCTCATGTTCGGATTCCTGTCATCACTGAAGCTCTTAGCCGGGTATTTATTTCCGTCCTCGGACTGACCAGCGACTTCTCGCCCATGAAGAATTGAACTGGACGTGAGGCTCCGTCAAATATATTCACCGAAGCTGAGCGGGTGAGACTTCGTCACGGTTCCGGTCCCAGGTAAGTCCGGGTGTTTCTTAAAATGAGCATGGAACTATGCGAGTACATAACTAAGTCACGCTTTTCTCAAGCTTCTAGGTGGGAGCTCGTTTCTCTTGAGAGAATGAAGAGAATCCTACTCCTAAGGATCTGAGATGGTACGAAAACAAGCAGCAGAATCGTATTCTCGCGGCTCGACTACGATCAACGATAAATAATACCCTAAAAGCAAACGATGAGTCGACTCGCGAACAACAGGTCCGCCACCCGGGCAGGAAATCCTTCTCATCTATTCCTCATGTTCCTCGGCTCATGTTTGAGTCTTGCGTCGCCTGCCCTCCCGGGTTCGGACTCTCCGATGATTCGTCAGCGGGGTCCCAATCGAGCTTGAGCTTAATCCTGAAGACCAAACTTATCTCCATCGATCCTCGCAGGAACCGCAGAGTTCCGTAGACTATTCATCCAAAGAGGCGCCGACCGCGAGGGATCCCGCGATCAGGTTGATGGGATAGGGATCCTCCTCTAATCGCTCGGGAATCGCCCTTCCTCGAGAGTTTCGGCGGTGTACATATACGAGCTGCAGATTGTTCGCAGTTTGCCCCTTTGAGATCTAAGCGGAAGCGTTCAAGCGGGACGCGACTTCCTCCTCGGTGTTCTTTTCACTGACGCTGGCCAGACGGAAAAACGTCTGGCCACTCAAGCGCGGGCGCGGCGGCGGTGGCTTCCTCGGCCTACGCAGCAACCTCTTCCTCCCGTGCTTGCGTGTGGGTTAGGTTACAACTCCAGGCTGGTGGCGGGGGGCGAAATGGACGGACGGACAGACAGACAGACACACCGGCCGACCAGCAGACCATCCAGAGCGAGAAACCAAGCGACCGGCCGAAAAACAGACGCGAGGGCAGGTGGTCCGAGCAGCAGACTGGGTCGACTAACCTTTCTATGTAGTTCACACAGGCGTACTCAACAAGAGCCGTGAACACGAACGTAAAACACATGATTACGAACCAGTCGAGAGCAGTAGCATAGTTTACCCTAGGCAACGATGCTCGGCCTCCAAAGCCCATCGTCACTAAAGTAAGCACAGTCATAGAGCCTGAAAAACAACAACGGAAACACTGCGGGGTTAGTTCTAGCCTAGGGCTTAGCAGTTTCACTACGTAGACGTACCTTTCAATGTAGTTGACACAAGCGTACTCGACCATGGCTGCGAACACAAATGAGAAACACATCACCACAAACCAGTCGAGAGCCGTGGCGTAGTTTACCTTAGGTAACGATGCTCGGCCTCCAAAACCCATCGTCACTAAAGTAAGCACCGTGGTGGCACCTGCAAATACAACTCTCAAGCATACCCGAGTGTTCTCGCGAAGCACCGAGCTCCCTAAAACTTCATACTGGAATTTTCGGGCTAGTGGGATTTCACCGCAATCTCCTGCTCCCGCGGTATCTGGGTCCGGTGTCGAAAGTAGTCCCAGTTCCCCGAAACCGCCCCTTCCCATTCAAAAAAATCCTGGAGGGAATTCAGTGGAGCCATAGAAAACAGCGGTGGAACTTGTCTCCGTTGCTGCTGCGGACCTCTGCTCTATCTTTCCGGAGCGGCGGCTTGTTGTCAGATCAAATGCGGGACGTATGAAATCGACCCCGGTCGGAAAGGCCGAACGCGTGCTTCCGCAGATCGCGAATGCGATATGGCGCCGATACGGCGATTTGTAAACCTCGCTCGACATATACTTCATCTTCGGACGTTGCTCCGGCCGCAGTGCTCGGATGCGTGTCAGGAAGTTGTCTTTTCCTCCAGATCCCGTTCCCTGCACCGTCCATTCCCCGAAGATCGGTCGGTCGGCCGCTCGGTCTGTCAACCAGTCGATCCCGTGGTAGGTGGTGGTGGTGCGGTCACCAGCTGGAAAAACCGCGAACGTGATGCAGAGCACAAAAACAGCATGACCAATGTCCATCGAGTGCATGCATTCGGTCGAAGCCATGGTGTTCCATTATTATCAAACGGCGGCCGACGCCTATCTGTGTCTGCCATCCCTTTCGGTCGCTCGGACGAGTCGCCAACAGTGAGAGGTGGTTCGGACGAACACGACGTCGACGACGACGACAACGAGCGCGGCAGCGTATTCTGAGCCAACAGCGCGGCGGTGGCCTTAACGAGTTTAAGATTGCCCGCTATGAACATTAGCTCTTTGTGACATTCAATGAAATATGCACACGCGCAGTTAGGTGCACCGAGTTCGTCGCGCCCCCGGCTCTACTACCGACGGAAGCGGAACCCCGTCACGAGTTCTCTGTCGGAAGCATTGATATGATAGATGAAACGACCACGCAAATCAGGAGCTGGAAAAACTATTTTTCCATTGCCGCCCATCTCTTCGTTTTGTCAAATCTGATTTGCAAAATTTCAGACGTTGAGCCTCCTCTCTCACCGATTCGCGGGATCAGCTTCGCGAACTCCCGCAGGGAGGAGCGAAACCGTTCGGAAGCGCATTTATTTATACTCGCATCCGCGTATGTAGGTATATTTAGAAGGATCGGCCAGGCGGAAAACAACAGACCGTATGGACACAAGAGAATAGGCCGGCTGCCAACGTACAGAGACAACACACTCAGGTACTTGAAACAACTTGCCTACGTCAGCAGCACTGGTAGCAGCAGCAGCAACAGGAGCAGAAGATCTGGCGAGATAAGTGGGAAGCCGCTCAAATGCAAGAGCGCAACGTGCTCGCTTGCATTTGAGTCCAGGTGAAATTTCCGCTTGCCGGGCTGTTCATCTCTGTCTCTTCTTTAGGGCTTATCAGAAAGAGTGTATTTCTGGTCGTTTATTATGTACTCGTTAGAAAGTGGGCCTTGAGGGAGTTGGGTGTTTCTCTTGCTCGCTCCCTCGAGTTCGCTTTTCCTGCTTCCCGTTATCTCGTGTCGGGTCAGCACATCGAGGACCTTCGAGGTCATTTCGACGCTTGTAGCGAAAAGTGTTTTTGTCGGAGATTACGGGAAATCGCTCGGTAGCCCGCTTTCTCGCGGGCGGCGGGGCCGTATATCAATTGTAGACAGAAGCGGGGAGAGAGGAGTGAACTTTCTGAGTGAAGTCTAATTCGCGGTTCTGAATTGCAGAGAATTCCACTCGAGCCAAGTCTCTCGCCCTGCGCTTGAGCATTGCCGGAGAATTTTGAGAGGTCCAGCGTGGCATCCCGGGAGCTCATCGCCATGGAGTGAGGCTGCACTCTAGCTCTCGAAAAATAACAAATCCACTTGTGGAGCTGCATGAGCTGGGACAGGGGGCGAGTCCGGTGGGACTTACGCCTTATACAGTTCCCTCTCTCTCGAATTATTGTTCATCCAGTAGGGAAGGAATTTGAAAAAATACTGACCTACGGCAACCCGACCAGCAGCGTCGTTACGATTGATCCAGAACGCAACCCAGGATGCTCCCACGATCATGGAGCAGGGCGCGTAAATCTGGAGTATAAAGTAGCCACGTCGACGGCGGAGTATAAACCGTGTCACTAGTGTAGACCGTGTCTCTGCAATGATGGAAGAGAAACTCTCCGATTATTATCAGCTGAAAAAACTTGTCCAAACGTTTTATAAAGCGCCCTAACTCATGAGCTGAGAAGTACCCGGAGCCTGAACAGGAATACCTAATCGGATTCACGATTATCCTAGTCGAGGGTAGGTGATTTGGCCGGAAAAACAACGGAGACGGAGATTTCGCCTGATGCCGGCGATAGGGACTCGAGTCGTGCGATGAGCCGAGCTGCTCGGCGAAAAGAAAGCTCTCGGGGTACGAGAACAAATCCTGTCGAGAGTCATGAATTGCTCCATCGATTCTCGGATCGTCGAATTGGGATGAAAAAGCTGCGTCGAGGTCGAGAAATGAGCTTCGCTGATCTTTTACAACGAGGGGGTCTCGCGTGGTCTTCTCCTGCCGTTGCCAAACAGTTCTGAACCCGGAAGGGTTCTCGATGAGCGCCAACGGTGCTGGCTCGAATTCTGGAGACCGCGATGGAGAAACCGGAGACTCCCCCGCGTCAACAAGCGATTGATGGTCTTAAACTAGATGTTTGTCCTTCTCGGCTAAGTTCGGCCCCTCTGGATAGCCTTTCCGTATACCCCTCTTCGCTCTCCAGTGTCACTCAAGACGGTCAACACGGACGCTAAACGTTTGTGTAACAAATGAGCCAGGAGCAGCCACAAGGTGAAGTTTCTCGCGGGAGGAACAACAAAGTGCTGTTCCGTGCACCTCAGCCGCGGTACAACTTGTGGGTTGCCCGCGTTTGGTCCATCTGCTTCCGAGAGCGAATCCGAGGTGAGGCTCCGTTGAGGGGGGGTTGACCCGAAATGTCCCGCCGAGGTCTCCGAGTCACATTGGAACCTCCCGTCTCGAGTCGAGACTCTCGAGTCGAGACTCTCGACTCGCGGACTATGTAGAGCCCAGACCGTGTCGGGAATCAACTCCGTTAATCCGATCGGTCGTAAACTTGAGGACCCGTCAAGGGAGCGAGGAATCGCTCTCTCACGAGAAGCTTCCCAGGACGCTTACCTCCGTTCGGTAATTCAACCGTGAGGTTGTTGCTGAGAATGTCGACAAACTCGTACTGGGACAGGGTCACATCTTTCGAGATCACCACGGGAGCCTTCCCGTTCCAATGGAACACCACGTCTTTCGGTGAGTAGGCATCTGAAACAGGACACAACGGTAGAAACGACGTTCCAGGGGAGCTGTATGGGGCGGAGGCTAGGAATCTATTGACTTCAGGGCTGCAAACGGAAACAGCGCGCGGGCTGGGATTTATCGTAGGAGTCACTCTCTCAAAAACCTCGCACGGCGGCGACGGCGAGCAGATTCAGCGTAGAGCTCCATGAAAGTCGCTCGACGCTGTGGGGGAAGAAACCGAGAGAAGTCGACATGCTCGGCACCTAAGAGTTCTTTTCGGAAACCGTTTCGCGAAGCAAAGAAATGCGAACCTGGTCGACCTCAAAACCCCGAATGCATTCTGATGCATTAACAGTGCCGAAATTCACCGCCCATTAGGAGTCAGCGGAAAAAAAGCGGTATGAATTAATTAGGACGAGGGGCAGGGCTTCACTTACAGCTGCCGATCTCCAGCGGGCAGGCTTGAGTATCAAGAGGATATTTCCTCAGATGCATCGGACATTTCGCTCGAATCGTCAATCTGCAAGCGAAAATCCACGAGCTCATTGAACACTTCCCGGAAAGGAATCGATTCCGCAAATGATCAATGAATTTTCGGTGAATAATGATTGAAAGAAATACTTTCGAAGCAAATAATAATGATCTTTTCGTAGTGGTGGGAAGAATCGATACTCCGTTCCTCTGCTTTCGAGCTCACAATAATTTTACACAATGAGACTGTTGGACAGGGCTCTGCGTCTTCGTCGAACTCACCTCATAGAATACTTTAAGGTACCGTCACCGTGTAATCGAACAAACTTGTTGGGCACGGATACTTTGTGCAGATACGAAGACTTTCCGTTGTTGATGTAGGTGTCGGGCGTCCATATTCTTTCGAGAAACTGCCAACTCACCGAAAGCTTTTTCAGGGAGCCCTCGAACTTCAACCTCTCATCACGCCATGACTGTCGAAAATAGCAATCCATCGAGTACATCTACACGAACAAGAGAGGAAGAAAGGAAGTACTTCAGTGCACCGTTGCATTACCCGTCTCGACTCAGCTGCCCTCAATTCCATCGGTACGAACACAGAAGCTCGTGAGGATACTCCAGCAGCATAACTTCCAGGAGCTCGCTATACCGAAGCTCTGATGCCGCGTGGCTCATGCAATGCCTCCGAACGAATCTTTGTGAAGATCCCTGATCGAGCGCCAGGGAAAATCCCGTCATCACACTCTGTATCAGATCGATGAATTGCATGTCCCACGCTGCCTCCAATGAATGAAGAATGTTCTCCAATTGACCTATGGCCGGAGTGAATGATGGAGGTAGATGAGCTTGGATGAGGCAAAACGAGATTCGGATGTTTCCCTTGGAAGAAATCTCGCCTCCTCAAAACTCCCGCAATCAGAATGAGTAGACTGTGAGACGCATCCAAAAACATATCGATGGCTGCGCGGGCGAGAAGCATAGAATCCGCGATGGGCCGACGACGGGAGGAAATCTAATTTTAGCGCTTCCCGAATAAAAACAAGTGATTAGATTAAGGCTCCGTAATAGAGTATAATCGAGAGTCGCGGTAAGGGAAAGCGCCATCAGAATGGTAGTTCGAACAAAAATTTGAATATTGGCGGAATATGCATGCGGATCTCGGCGGATAAATGCGATGATTTCCAAATGGATGAGCTACGCGCTGACGCCCCATGTATCTTCCCTTCAGAACATCGCGCGCGTTTCTCTGCCACTCTGTCGATCATGACTAGTGGGAAGGCCTGCGGGACAGGGCGAATATCCGCCTGAATGAGTGAATTCCAGGGGAATTAGACTCCATGCGCGGGTAACCCGAACGGATACGGAAATCAAAACGAGGCTATATCTTAATCGAGCTGACCGTTCGGCTTCCGAAGAGGCCGAAGCAACACCCGGACGTCTCGATGGTTCTGGCGATTATTGAGCCGGCGATAAGTGTCCTGAACAATCTGAAGAGAATCTCGAACCGACTCCGAGATGATCCGTCGAGCTGATGAAACATCAAGAAAAGGGAAGCTAAACTCACCATGTCGTTTTCGGAGACCGGCCCGAAACTTCGAATTTCGACATCCGTTATTATTTTGGTTGCGTTTCCTGGAAGGGGAGAAAACATTCCCTTGAGCAGTCCCCAGCTACCACCATCATTCTGGAAATTCCGAAATTCGCCTCGGACGACTCCTCCCGAGAATTGAGAGCGGATCGCCGATGACAGCCGTCCGACGGTATAATCGAGATAGATCGAGGAAAAAAGACCGCCTTCATCGACCGGACTCACTCGCCTGCCTCGTGTTCTCGTTTTCCACAATTCGGATGATCGACTGCACAGCTCGGGGCTGTCAAGTCACACTCCGGAAATTGCGTAAATTTTGGACTGAAACGTGGAGAAATTCACGCAGCGCATCGAGCCATAGAATTTCAGACAGCACAAGATCGGGCGGAAGATAAAAAAACGGTTGGAGAAAAAGCGAAGAATTACCAAAGAGATAATCGAGTTCCCCTTGTCGCAACAAATCTTCATTCCTCATGCCCGAAATCGACACACCGATTGCTGGCGATAGAAATCGGAAGGAATTCTCCGCCTGCTCTCGGGCGAATTAGCTCATGATGCTTTCTTCGTCCCCGACTTCCTTCTCTGCTCACTCAGTCAGAATAACACTTCCGAACGAGTGTGGACCCTGTCGAGAGACGGAAGAATCGCCCGTCGATAGTCTCGTTCCTCCGCTCTGACAGCCTTAGCGAGGGCGTACGTTCTCGCCTCACCCCGTGAGGGGCACCTTCTCCCTCATGACTTTCATTCCGTGAGGCGACGCTTTTCGAGGCGGCATTTCCGGACGGGGTTTCGAATGCTTCTCCGGACGATCTCCCAGCAGGAGGTGGTCGAATTCCTCCCGCTGCCGAAATTCGCAATACTCCATTCATCCCTACGACGTTGACGTCCGCTTCGCTTCAGCCCGGGATACGGTCAGGATAATGTATCGGCACAATACATCGACATGAAATATCGGAATATATCGTCACCACGGATCATCTGGAGCTTCCGTTGGTAGCTGCGAGCCATCCTGGGGAGATCGCGCGATCATATGATCGCGCAGACGGACTTCTTCCGCTCGACAGGCGACGTCCCGCAAAATACGGCACCGCGTATTCTCATCTCAGCGTTTTCGTCCATCGGAGGATTTCGATAGAGCTCTTATTGATACGGAGTGAGCAGACTCGATACAGATGATACAGATAGTCCCCCGCTGATATGACGGGCTTGTGTTATGCTCTCGACCCACTCCCAGACGGGTGACGGATCAAGAGGAACCGGTTCCGCTGGCCGCGTGAAATGGTGGAAGACGGAAGCGCAGAGAAGTATGCTTTGACGAAATCATTGTGAAGGCTCAATGCGTGACGCAATCTGGGATGATTACCGCGGCCTTTAACGTGATCTGAACTCCTCGGGAAGAGCACTGCGACGTGAGAAACTTTTCATGACGGAACTTGCGGCGTGCGAAAGGACATGAGAACGAGCGCACCTGTCTGGTGACCCCTGATGGTAGGTGAACTGAGTTGGGCGAAAGTGATCGTACCAATTCAAGAATGAAGTGATGTCCAGAGGAATCATCGCATTGGGCTTGCGTGTTCGTGTTTTGGGCGCAGTCCAGCCTCGCACCGCAAATATCATGGCCGGAAAGCCTCATTGACGAGAACAGTGGAGGCAGCTTCCAAGGTGGGGGCTCCTTGCCCTTTAGGTCCTCAAAGCATTCATGGGACTCGTTATTCAGTCGGGGGAAATCGCTCCCTGATTTCCGTTCAACAGCTGGATGGCTAGCTACAGACTTGGTGGCTCCCGCCGTGCATCCGAGGAGGGAACGGCATGTAACTTGAAACAGCGTCCCGGCTCAGTACGTGCCCCGGAAAAAAAGTATGGAGCAACGTATTCACGACCAAATATCCTCTGTAGATATGAGACCATGTAGGGAACGAGTCTCTCGGCGGTGATTTGGGAAACGTGCCACTGGAACCGCTCGACACTCATCTAGGCAGCGTGGAAATCCACTTTCCCCCTGGCTTCCCAAAAGTTCCCTGGAACACTCTGATTTCCCCGAGTTTTCCAACTTCTAGCGGCGGGGTCGACTCGGAATGATCCACTGCGGGCCGAGCGACTCCAGTCGGACCGATCAATCAATCAACTCATGGTTGGGAGAAATGCCTAAGACAATCCGGTCGAATAAAGTACCTGCGCACCTCTCGAATTCGAAGGTTTCCCGATCGTGGTGCTTCATTTTTTTACGAATCCGTCCCGTCGTCCTCTCGGCCCCCGCGACCTCTATCACCGAAGCCTTGATCAGCCCGAATATTCATTCTCCCCATATAATGCTTTCACTCTGGCACTCCCGAATCCGCGTAGAATTCTTGCCCAACACGAAAGAACTCGAAACTAAGAAAGCGACGTATATCGGGATTCTGATACTCCACGATTGAGAGCCACCGCCGGCTTTCGACCATTGAGCTCTTTGGATGTTTCTGACCAAAGAAATCAGAGTACAATTTATCTTAGGTATCGATACCCGCGACAGAACCTGTTGCTACCGATTGCCGAACTCCATTCGAGAACAAGGAAGCGAAACAAGAGATACAGGTCGTCAATATCGCATTGGCTCAGCTCCGAGGTCAAGTCCAGAATCTTTCTGTCGGAAACGGCTCCTCGGAGATCCGAGCTGACCTCTGTCAATGTCCGAATGACAGCAATGCCCGAGTGCCCGCAGCCGGCGCATTATCAGCTGAGCTAACCAACAGCTGTCTCTACCTTCAGCGGAACGGAGTGACAAGCAGGTCAATTCTCAAGAGGAGGCACTTCAAGCATATGAATCATATCGAGAATGTCAATGTCAGCACCGATGCCAGCAACGTACACACGCTCGGATGTCGATTCTCGATGGGACTTTGAGAACGTGACTCTGTAATGCGAACGCCAATACCCTGATCCGGACTTCTCGACGGAGCGCTCGCAGGCTCCACGCTCGCTCTTCGTTTCCTTAATTCTCGAGTATCTCCACCACGGAATGAGACGACGAGGGATAGTCATTATCTCATCATTCGCCGTACCGCTCGAGATAGGGAGGTTATACCTGCGCAGGAGAGACATCGATACTCGCTCACAGACCGCCAGATTTGGCTCCGGCACGGAGAGAGCTCAGCGCTCGAGGTCTGAAAAAGCTCTCACATTAAATCTTACGGCGGAGCGGGGCAGTCGGATAGGAATGAAGACGAGCGGTTTTGCGGGAAGTGCCGTTTTATCGCGCGACGACATTCCGTGCTCGAGATGCCTGTCGACTCTTGAAGCGACAGTACGTATGTACATCGAGAGGCGAGATGAGAAATAAAGGCAGGCCGGCAGATCATCTAGGAGAAACTGCCGAAGTCGTCGTCGCGCGCGTCGTCATTGCCGCAGTCGCCGTGAGGAACGGCAAGGCAACCCCGTTATTTGACGCTCGGCCCATGACGAGCTCCGGCTATATTTATTCGGTCTCTCTTCTGCAGAACTGCAATCTACGCTCAGTGCCGTATTTTCTGTTTCTCGCTTTCGGATGCGTTTTCCATGCCCATTTCTCCTGATGCTCCTCCCTCTTGTTGCTTCCCGCTTCTCTGGGTCACGTTGCGCGTCGTACCCTTTCATTGGGAGCGTGCTATTGCTCTCGTGTCGTGGGTGGCGATAAGTTCGCATTGCACGCATCGCTGCTAGTGGTCGGCTAATTCACCCGTATCAGGATGGGGAAATCGAGAGAGGATTCTCGATCATTCAAAGGGGACCTCGCTCGTGGGATATCCCGGTTTGAGCGCAACTAACAGGACCGGTGGGGTAGTGGCGCTTTCCTCAACCGCCTCGACGAAATGATTGGGGACAACGAAAAGAGCCCTGCTGGTGCCCTAGTTGGGACTGAAGTCTTTCGTTTTGAAGCTTCCCGGAGACCGATATTCGAGAATGACCTCACGGATCGCACGCGGAATCTGAGACATTGGGGCACGTCGGAGAAGCTACGCCCGTGCCGTGATACGTGTACAAAAAATTCTCGAGCGATTAGATCCATCTGCTCTCCGGGAGGAACTCTTATTACCTCTCACCGATTTCGTTGGCTAGACCCTTGAACGAGCAGTGTGTTTAGTGTTGATGGCAAAATCTCGATCCGCATCATTGCCGTATCAGTTAATCGACTCATCTAGTACCCGATTTCCGAATCCAGAGTAATGGAGTATTTCCGCTATCCGGAGCTCAATGAATTCTCTCGAGTCATCTCATGGAGCTATAGCGTAAATCATTCTAAGCACGCGAATCAAATGAAGCTGTCCACTCCAGAATGCCACTGATATACCGGAAAAACAGCGAGTTCTCACCTCCGAATCCCGGTCGGATCCTTCGGTCATAGTTTTCCTCGGAAAGTAGACTGTCGAGCAGCAGAGACGTGTTCGCCATGATCTCTTTCGACAGCGTTGAGTTGAGGTCCTCCAACAGTGGATAGGAAGGTTTCGATCGAACCTTCAAAATTGTGAACTCGGTAGTGCTGGAACGAAGGAAATGAACTCCTTAGTTACTAATCTCTGCGAATTCACTCTGAGTGTACCGGAGTTAAAGGGACCCCCATTACAAGGAATCTCTTGGTACAACGAACAGGGAATTTCTCCTCCTTTGGCCAGCCCGCCATAGGGATAGTGTTGAGCGGCATTCCTTACAGCGAAAACTCGGTACAACGAACCAGTTTCGTCGGTGCCTTCGTGTTCGTAGTAAGGAGCTTTTACTGTATTCCCAGAGTCCGCGTGGAGACTTTCACCGCTGGTCTCCTATGCCCCCGAGGAGAACCTCCATACTTAAATGTGTCCTCTGATGTGACGTATCGTACAGTTTTGTCGCTTTTTGAGTATCATTCACGGCGAGAAAGAGAGGAAGTACCGCATCCGACTTCGATCTCTGACTTGTTTATGTAGAGCACGAAAAAAGCTCTTCAACAGCTCCTGTGGTCGGTTTCTCGGTCTATCGAGCACGCCGATATTGGCCCTCTTGAAATCTCGGGAGAAAGTCAGACTGTGCGGTTCTGTCGAAATATGACGCCGCCAGCGGGAGTTTTCCGTTTCAAGTCGCGATTTGCAGCTCTCCACGAATGAACGAGTCGCTCCCGAATCGTCCTCGATAAGAACAAAGGGTCGAAGGGAGGGGAAAAAAGACTTTTTGTCGGAAGCTGCGTTTTTCACTCGGACGACATTTGCCGGATTGAGGCTTTCGACGCCTCGAATGAGTTGTCATACAGAGGAAGAAACATACTTCAGTGTGTGTTATGAGATTGGCGATCCTGAGTCTGGAGGGCGTCGTTTCCCCCGCATTTTTCCTCCAGCGTCGCGTCGCCGAAGAACCGGCGTTGGGGGACTTTTACATTTTTTGTTCGGGGCAAGGATGGAGAGTTTCTGTTTTCAGGACTCATTGAACCTATTGACGTACGAAAAAATACGATTCGTCCTTTCCGAACGAAAAAGTCACTCCGGGTAGAGTGGGATAGCGGCAATGACGGAGCAGCTCAGTCAACTGAGTGGCGGGGCGATTAAAGAGGGAAATTACAAGCTCTTTATCAGGAGATGGCGGTAGCAGAAAGAGCGGACGTTTAGTTAGTCGTGATGGAGATGCCTTCCCTGGAAGCGCCATGCCCCATTTGTTTTCGCTGCGACCGTTTGTCCGCGCCGTTGCCGCCACCGCCCAACCGCTCGTTTCCTAGTTGTCGTTCCCCTTCTCGCGCCCACACACCCACTCCATGACAAACCTCCCCAATCGGGTTGGGTCGTTTGCATAAATGACATCTAACAGCTGTTCGTCGCTTTCATGGTTGTTGCCACACACTCTTGTCCTGGTAGCGGTTTCATTTGACCGACGACAGCGGCATAATCACTACGACCACCTCGTCCGGCGGTTACGAGACCGCTTCGAGTGCTCCGAAGTTGCGCCGAGCCCACTGACTGTCAGCGCGAGCCTTCTCCTGAACGAGCTCACTCGGTTGAGCAAGGAGCGCGCACTAATGACCAGGCATTAGGATTACAAAGATCCGAAATGTTCAAGACGAGCCGTCGTAGATTTTTTGGGAGCGCCTAGACGATGCGCCTGCCGTCGACGCGAGCGCATGCTCGACCGGGTCACGCACAAAGACGAACGACTACCGGTGGGAGCACCTGATCCGCGACTGTGGATGGTCTCTCGGATATGCCGTCGGGATGCGTTCTCGATGATCCAGATATGCCACTAGCCGACGCGGCGTCCGGGGAATTACTCGCTGGGAAAATTTCGTCGTAGATCCGTTCGACATCTACACCCGCGCTGTCTCTTGCTCCATTACTCCGGGAGCGAGAAACTTTCGGAGAACTTTTGAGAAGTCAGAAAGAAATGGAAAGTTCGGTTGTGAAGGAGCTCTGAACGAGCTTGGATTTCTCATGGGTATTCATTGTTTGCTCGAGAACTCCCCGACGGACCAGCTCGTTCGTGTCGGGGAGCATATCCGAGATCGTACAGAGCCATGCGGGCTCCCTGTCACATTCACCGGCTATCTGAGATTTCGCGAAGAGAATCGTTTATTGTGTCGTACAGCCGCAGTAGACTATGCTGTAGTCGATCCTTGTTGTCGGAAAGTTCAGTCGGACGGAAAGATAAGGAGTTCAATGGTTCTTTAGATTTCTAGAATTGGGAGTCTGCCTTTTCAGGTTTCTCGGCTCCTCACCTGGGAAATTCTCACGCTGATCACCGATCGCTGTCCTGCCTGATTAATAAACAGATTTTCAGCATAAGCTCGGAGTTCTCCAAAAAAAACGGAAAAAGGCCCATTCTACTCCTGAGTGAAAACTCGGAACCCACAAATTAAGGGAAATAAGGTCGGCAACGACACCGTAAGTCGATTGGTCGCCTCCTCCGTTCCGCCCGACTGTAGGTAGGAATTCCAGTTAATCTATCAAAACTTCAAGTCATTGGTAGGAAATTCTCCGTATTCCAAAGTGGGTCCCCTCCTTCATTTTATCATTGCTCCTCGGAGGCCCAGAGGTTGCCTTGTTTTGGAGCAGAGCTCGGCTGATCTCTAAAACAGCTCCACCAGTGACATCGCTGTACAGATTAGATTTTCGCAACTAGGTCTTCCCTGAGTGAGGGCGTCCGAGAGCGACTTCACTCGGCCTGTATGCTGTCGTCGCCCCTCGCTTCTCCCCCGATTAGCCGTTCCATTAACGTAAGAGAGCGAAATTTCCCGCGAGAAGAGAACTTCCCGTCTGTGTTCAATTCAGTGTCACATCTTATTCCTGGGGGTTGGAAGAAGAACACGTCGGCCAACGGAAGCTTCAAACAGTCGAGGCAGAGTTGGTCGTACAATAACATTAATTGACTCGGACAGCGGTAGGAGAAATAGGTACTCGGAAAACAATCCAGTACCGAGCCTCATTCGCTGCGACGGGCCTCGCGTACGGTTTCTCCTTCTCTCTGGACGAACTTAAGTAAAGACAGAGTGTTCGACGAGGCATAAGAAACCAGTTTCGGCAATCGAGGGGAGTCAGCGGGGGACGAACGGCTCGCAGTCCGCGGGGAAGAAACGAGGAGAACATGGAAATCGTCCCCGGTTCAGCAAACCGGGAAAATCCGGGAACTGGGAAACGAGAGGAGTGAAGTCAGAAACCGAGGGGTCTCTCCCGGAACAGCGCAGAGAGAGTCGCGCTGCCCACAGACACCATGGGCCCTCCGGAGAGGAAGAGCCGCAGGGGGGCGATAGTGCGAGGGGAAGTAACCGACTGGTTGATGGGGACGAGTACTCAACGGGGTAAGAGAGGAGTCGGGGGAGGCGAGAGCATCGAAGGCGAAAGCGAGCACGATAGAGGAGGAGAGACGACTGAGCTTGTTTTCGGCACGGAGTCTGTAGCCGTGACGGTGGTGGTGGTAGTCGTCGTCGTAGACGGCCGGCCGCGGTCGCGGCGGTGGCCAACGGTAGTCGTCGGCCACGAGGCAGACGACGAGCAGAAGCGGCGGTGATCTCCAGTGATCCGAAAGCTGGTCCTGGAACGTGACCGCCTACCTTACCACCATTGCGCTTTTATAATTCACAAGCTGCCCCTATTCCTATCGCGGGCCTAAATTTGCTCTCGCCTGCCTCCGCTCTCTCTTCAGTTGTCCGCTACTGTTTGCTATGGAGCGACGCTGCTGTCCCGCCGTCGCTCGACAGGCGGAGAGTCAACGGCAAAGAATGAAAGTTGGAGAGACGCGGAACCGACCGGCAAGGCTGAGCGCGCGCGCCGAACCTTCTGCTCTCGCAGTCTTTGCGATTCCGACCGCCATACCCACTGTGAGAGACACCTTGGAGAGCGACTTCTTTCCGTTACCCGGGCTCGTATGGATATCGCGGACGAAGGCAATATCGCAGCAGGTTTTTTCCCTCTGGTCCTCGGAGGGAGAAGAAGATTTTCCCGTTCCCAGTGACTGCATGTATACCTGTGAGCGACATCTGAAGGGTTAGGACCTTCTTCCGCACTACGGACTCCGCTCCGGAAATGCGCCGACTGCAATCACTCTCCCAGATTTTCCTCCCGGGTTTTCGGGGACTCCCTTCCCACGCTTTTGTACGTTTTGTTTGTTCGCCCGCGCACCGGCGCGTGCGTTTATTTCATATGCTTTTGCTTCCTGGGGACCTTGTGTCTCACTTGCGTTTCATTTTCCGCTCTTCTAGAGATTTTTATTTATTTGTTCGTTCATTCATCATTTGCTCGTCTGTTGTTTGCATCCACAAGCGAGGTTCTCGAGATATATGTACATAAGACTAGGGTCCGTTCCTCCGGGGCCGTCAAAAAACGTAAAGAAAAGATCAAGATCGTCGTTTGAAGGGATATGGCCGGGGACGGAAACCGCGACGTATTTTTAATAAAGTCAAAATTTGCCTCGCATATTCCAATATATTCAACCCAGCGCGCTGCAGCTGCCGTCGACGCAGCGACTGAGAACGGCAGACGGCAGTAAGAAGGAAAAATTGGGAAATATTCCTTGCGGTGGGAATCCGCATCGTCGCATGATGTGCACCTTCGCGCCTCGGTTGGCTGTCCTGGTCTTGATCGGCGTGGCAGAAGCATTCCAGATTTGAGACGGAAAAGGCAGGAGTCAATGGGCCGCAGACCCGAGGAGGGTGAAAGAGTCCTCCACCCCGCGGTGGAGACGCCTCGCAATTATTATTAGAGTTTTTCACGAACGGATGAACCCACTCGAGCTCGCACGCAAGAGTCGCGGTACAAGGCAAGTGGTTCCATTCGGTAACTGAATCCGTGAACTTTGCGAGTCGGACGGTCGCTAGTTTCCATGTAGTTCCCCATTAACCGCTCTGCAGACGTGCCCCTGTACGCAGCTTACGGGGACAACATAGTATTCGGCCGTGATCACATTCGGTGCTGCGGTAGACTCGTTGGCTGTCTGTACTCAGAGTACATGTTTCAAGAGCCGTTCGCCGGAGCGGCGGCGCTGTGCTCGCAACGGACAAGCCGTTCATTGAATTAGATTTGGACGGAACCCCACCAATCACGAGCTTTGCATGAATATGAGCATTCCGAATGTCCCGCCCGGAAACGAAATGCCGCCTCATTCCCAGTATCGAGTGATGAATATTCAAAAACGCTGGCTCAGCGGACTACCATGCGTGACAGAAATAATATCCGTAGATGAAAGGTCGAAAAGCTTTTGCTCGGGGTCCCGGAAAGCTCGGATTCATACGTCTTCTTCGGCCGTGGAAAATAACAGATAGACTCGAGATACTGTCCCGAACCGAGATGAGAGGGTGCAGTTCCTTGCGTCGCGTCCGGAGGAGTTCCTTTTCG